GAGGTCCTCAAAATTTGGTGAAATAAACAAAACGTGAAAACAGGAATTATCCCACTTTACCTCCATGTAATATAAATAACAATGTTACAAAGCGTTTTTGTAAGTTTATAGGTCTATTAAAAGTTCAAGAATTTCCCTCAATTATATGCATTGATTATGCAACCTCATTATAATTTGTACTTCTGTTGTTTGCTTTCCTTTTCGACTTATTTCTTGTCATAATACACACGGATCTCTTGTAGAGTATCTATACAAAATATATGGTAGTCAACTTGTCTATATGTCCACCCGATATGAAATTTATGTAGTTAGCGGGTTTTGAAAACGTAAAGTCCAAATTCGAAACAAACTTCGATTGCAAAACCCGCTATTCGGTGATGTGTTACGAATAACAGGATGGAATTTAATTATTGAGAATACGTTTTTATATAAAAAATACCGAAATTTCTATAAAATATGAAAATACGAAATCGACATTATTTTATAATGAAAAACTGATTTATTTAACGTCAAAAAGAGATCAAAAATGAATGTTTAACATTTTAAATGCACCATGGTGCTTTCGATCAGCCTCAAAGTTGTAGAAGGATTGAAGAACTAGACAAATCTTGTTTTCATTTTTCGTGAACACGATTATTTTGGCTCTTTGAATGGCTGGAAATGCCAGTTACTAGTAACTTTCACTTAGCCTTCTCTTTTCAATCTTGAATCACTCTGTCGTAGACATACTACCGTTGCAAATATCAGAGAGTATACCGAGGCAAATTTTTCAATGTGAATACATTTCGGCAGCGTGAGCACCATTGATGCGTACACGTTCACAGCAGCGCAGTGCATTGAACGTACTGTACAACCTAACTCTGTATAAGAAAAATGTCCCTTCTAATTGTAAAAAACTGAAAGGTAGCTTTGAGTGTTTAGATTGGTAAGTCTGATGTCAGCTGGATTACGTTGCATCCGAACATGGCACGGCGACAGCCGGCGACCTGTTGAAACTTGGCAGGTTTTGCAAACGTCGGACATTCAATGGGATTTGCATCCGAAGACAACGTTCAGTTTACGACGAATGAATTTGAGTCATTACAAAACAAATAAACATATGCGGTGGTAAATTTTCTTTGAAAGTAAAATTGTTGTACAAAAATGCTCTAATAAAACAAGTGGTGCAGATCCGATAGCCAAGATCGCTAAGACAGTAGTGTCGTAACACTCTTGGACCAGAAGATCGCGTTTTCGAGTTCCGCCTCGAGCATGGTTGTGTTGTGTGTCTGTATGTTTGTGTCTTTATCACCATTCAGTTGCATCACAATTTCACCTCATCCCCCAGGGCTAACTACCCTCGGGTGTAAAAATGGAATCAACGTTAAAATGCTGATCCCCCAATAAAAGTGATGTGCACCTTCTCCGAAATTCAAGACGGAGCCTCGGTGGGATGGACGTATCGGGTGGCCCCATGATGTCCATGGTATCTTCGCAACACGGACAAAAATATCTAAGTGTATTCACGAACATAGCCCATGCGCAATTTAGTTTTACAACTTTCTGTGCAAGCAGTATGCGAGAAAGCAAAATAATTAAAAGTTCTAAACAACACGATCCACTAGCGGTGGATGTGGTGGCGTACATTTTTACTCTCCTGTATCAAAATTTTCTCAAAAATGGCTCCAAATTTCTTCTTTAAATGTGTTTATTTGTTTTATTTATTTATTTATGTACGTCAAAAACAGTTAAAAACTGTGTGTGACGTGCTATGTTGAGAAGTTAATTCGAGGTTAAATTTATGTCCAGAAACAAAACAAGGGGACATCTCAGCGTTTGCTCGAGGATCAGGGAAACTGGACGGAAACCTTATAGAGATGGGGGTCATTGACCCAAACGCTGAAGAACAATACTTGTTACCGATTCTTTACAATTATACAATCCAAGTGGAATGTAATACATTAAATGTCATTGCTAAAATTAATATTACTTTCCTTTTGGAAGCTCAGTATAGTTTCTAGTTGTATAGAAACAGTTGTGCAGCAGAAAATATTTTACTTGGGACTTAAACTTTTACATCGTTTAATTTAATCGCTAATGTCATCTGGCAAGGTGTAAAATAATGTACATGTATTATATGTGATTTTTTTTGTAGTGCTGTTGATAATGTCACCTGATGAATATGATTACTATGTCGAGTATCGTAGTTATAGACAACGGCGTTTGCTAAAAATATAATCCCGCCCTTAAGTAAGTCATTTTTGACTGAAACCACTGATTCATATATGAAGGAACAAGATAATGGAAAAATACCTAGATTAATAAAGAGAGGCTTACAAGAATCACATGGGTGGAGTTTGCTTATTATTCGTACAACTCGTTTTTGTAATCTAAAAGTCTGGGAGCTATAAGATGTATTTCCCCAGAATATTATGCCATATCTCAGGCGGGAATGAACATTCGGGAAATATACACATCGAGCAGTGTAGAGGCTGACTGAATTTGAAAGAATTATGAAAGCATAATTTTATTTCGCGGATCTTCAAATTTATACTTAAAAGATTTGCTAGTTTCTGGATTTTGAAAAATAATATAATAATTAAGCGAACAATAATTTTATTATGCTGAGCTTATGACATACATTAATAAATTGGTGAACTTAAGTTCAGTATTATAAAACGCGCGAGATGAAGTTAGGCGTTATCCCTATAATTATTTATAGGGATAACCCGTTATTAATAAATCCTCTTTCAATTATATTTTGCTTTCAAACGTTTTTTGTCCAAGTTTAGATTAAATCAACGTTCGTGGATTTTTAGGAGAGACTTTCGAGAATACATCAATACAGACCGCTACAGGACGTGGCACCAGAAATTGCATTACTCTCAAACAAATAGCTGCTCAAGAAGGTGCCAGCTGAGTATAAGAGATGTGTTATACATTCTTCAGGTGATAGTACAAGTAGACACTTGAGCACAATACCCGAAGAACTCTCTATTAATAAATCTTCTATTCTTCGAATCAGACACAAGAGAAGAGAATATTAATCTGCTTTTAAGAGTAATACATCCGAAATTCTTACTGTTCATTGGGATGGTAAACTGTTGCCTGCATTAAATATCAAGCACCGAATAGAAGAAAACCTTCCAATTATTGTTATATTTGGGGACAGCGGCTAATCGGGTTGTCAAAATTGCCGAATTCTCCTGATAAAGAACACACTAAGGCTGTTTGGAATGTGTTAACGCACTGGGGTATCGAATACAATGTACACATTCTTTGCTGTGGTACAACAACATCAGACACTTGACGTTCTGAAGAAGCACGCGTCTTTCTTGAGGACAGGGACGGATCCAGCCGATCATTGAAGGGGGGGGGGGCATCGCAGATATTTGTTAAATAATAAAGTAATTTATTGTACTGTAGATACTATTCTCTACTGTATTATTGTTTAAATAATTACACAATTCGAACATAAATGATTAAATCAATTTTGCCAAATGGAGGAAGGTTACCAAAACTCTAAGCCCCTTGAAAGGGCATGGCTCCCGCGCCCCCCGCCCTGGATCCGCAAGTGCTTGAAGACAATATTGATAGAGAATGGTTGTTCTTTCCCCGCCGTCACCACATATACGAACGTATTTCACAATGTGTTTGCATGTAAAAATCGTGATGTAGCACGCACCTGTTTTTAAGCATTTTAAGAAAAGCTGGGAAAGCTAATGCCAATAATTTTCAAAGTGGCAAAGCGAATGTGGAAAAGTTGTTTAATGAGTCCGAAATTAAAGAAGTGTTGGATTTTTATTAAAGCAAAAAACTAAAGATATATATTCCCGGGGCGATGCATCGACCTCTCGGATCGATATAGCGAAGGACCGACACAGCTATTTAATTTTCAAAAATGTTTCTGCTAACATCAGAACCTAAATTAGCTAGTGTAATTAAAAATTCCTTTAAAATATCTCTGTTAATTATAACTGTTGATGTCAAACTGTTGCTGTAGTACAGTGCAGCTGTAAAAGCTCCTTATCACGATATATGCTTTTTAAAAGTTCTAAAATCGCATAAAATTCAATTTAATCTTCATTTGAAAGAAAACAATAGCGAACATTGTGTCAACCAAAAGCAGATGTGTTTCTCTTGCCTGGAGATGGATACTAGTTTTATTCAAGAATGTCCGTCAACTTGGACAAGAAATTCTTCATATTTAGAAGCTCAAAGGTTATTTATAAAATTGAAAGCTGTGAATGACTTCGCTGAAAGGTCTGTTGCGTTAATGCAAGATTTTCTTGGACTACTGAATGTAGATGAGCGAATTTATATCGTGCTGTTCAAGAACATCGTTCACTGTACCCATATCGCAGAAAGTAAACACTGAAAAAGTACCCACAAGAAAAGTTACCATCATAGCACAGCCTAAAGAGTGAAAATGTATTAAATTGTAACATAAAAATATATGAATATATGAAACATTTTTTTCTACTACTTTCAATACTTCAATTTTGACTGTTTACAAATAATTATTTTAATGCTCCGTCCGCATTTACAAGCAGTTAGTGTAAGTTTGTAATGTAATAAGTGGTCGAGTGGTTCACTAGCGACTGGCAAAGAACATACCACCTTCAATGGCAAATGTGAACCCGAACGGCGATAACGTGGCGGTCGGGGAGCCACAAAATACAAGTGTGGTGTTAGCACGCGGATCGGCACAGGACAACGATTTGAGCAGACAGAGGAGAAGGAGATTCAGATGCCATCAGGGAGACATTGAGATTCAGAGAGACATTGAAATTCAAGCAGATTTGACTGTATTTTCTTGTATTGTACTCTACAAAGTTTTTCGCATATACAGCTTGCAAATGCATTGTGCAATGACTGTTGCAATTACGATCAAGCACGTCTCGCTTTTGGTGACACTCATCGTACATACGCTACAATGCCGTCAGACGGTTTGAAGCGTTTAAGAGATTTTACCCGAAATAAGTATCAGCCGCAGGTCACGTTATCATGCCTTTCCATCATCACACCCACTGTTGGTGCGTGGCCTCTGCTGACTGACCTGGATTTCGGGATTGCGGCATTCCCGCCCGGCAAACTGGCCCTTCGTCAACCGCATCCCGAGAGGCTGTCTGCGACGCGCCCTCGCTCTGGAACGAAGTCTGCTCAGAAGCCGGGCTGCATGTTGAGATGTTACGACATGCATTGGCATAGGCCATGTCAAGTCCCGGGACAAATTTGTCTAAACCGCTGCCAATAAATGATGGATTTTAACTACAATTACGACGGCAGTCGTTACATCTCAATGTAGACATATCACATATGTAAATGTCTTTATTTAATAGATTCCCTTTTCTTTTCAATAAGCACGCATCAGTCAATTTGGAGATGCGATTGTCAGCAATATAAGTTTGATTGCCAGTCTAGAATTTGCATCATACTCCAACCAAGGACAAACCAATTTCCCTGAGATCTCTAAAGCCGGCATTATTTTGGGGTCCCAGTTAACAAGGTGATGTATGTCGATGGGTCATCGTCATATACACAAGCTTAAAATATTATATACTGTTACGTATAAATTAAAAATATAACAAATGTTAATCAAAAAATTAAATAATTTTTTTGGTGTGGCCTATTTTCTTAACATTTTTACTTTAAAGAAGAAGAAAGAGAAAGAAAAGAAAAAACTTAGAAAATTACATTTAATTGGAAAGAATGTTATTTATGAATTAAGAGGAGACACAAGAGAGGCAGAGTGGGAGTAAGATGGTGATGGAGAAGCGATTGCAATTATATACAACTTGTGATACTCTGCTGTGACATTTGGTTAACTACAGTTATTACGACAACGGACTGGTAGAGAGGTTATAACCACATTTAAACGACTTGAAATTATTGAAGATGTTCACGACCTAGGTAGGGCTCCATTAGGGTAAACAACTTTTACGATGATCAAATATTTATTTCACAAAATTAATGATTCATAAATAATCAGTTAGTGGTAATTAAACTGAACAAACAATTTTGTCTGACAATGGAAAAATATAACAAACAAAATTAAAGTTAAAAGAAATAATCTATAAACATTTCGTCAAATAGTTCCATTCGATGTCACTTGATTTGTCCTTGGGATATAAGAGAACGTTTGTGGAATTTTCCCGAATATAAATATAGTGCCGTTTGACTTTTAACTTTCTAACTATAGTTCGTCTTTGCTTGATGTGAACCTAAAAAATAAATATAATAAATTACTAATGTATTAACAATCATAATTAAAATTAAAAAAACAAAAATAAATATTAAATAAAAAGTATGTGTGGATAGGTTGCAAGATGTCAAATGTGTTCGCTAAAGTAGCTGCGAAGGTCGCGTAGAAGCGAAATGATCTCTGTAGAAACCATCTGCGCTGTGGTTGTAGGAATGTGCGCTCCCGCGTCATTATTTTCAATGGATTGTGAAGCAGGTATTATAATTTTATCGACATGGTCCACATCTGCTTCCATCTGCTCCCATTCCAACAATTCATTGCAGATTTCTTCGTTATGTCTAGAAAATGTTCAATTACTTTACGTAACTAATATTATAAATAATAATAATAATAATAATAATAATAATAATAATAATAATAATAATAATATTTAATAGAAAAGGCAAGGTAAGTACTTACGTTATCTTCCTCCTCTTTGCTGATGACCTGTCAGTGGTGTTGACTTCAACTCGACTAGAAGATGGCGCCATCATGATCTAGTCCCTTCAGCGTCAGCAGCAGCAACGGGTCAGTGCACTCAACGTAACAACGGACACAGGAAGGTATTGTGACGCTTCAAGAACGAATGTAGATGTGATCCCTTGCTGGGCTTCTTAGGTTTGTGTCCAAAACTGTCCTTTCTCACCCTTTCTCAAATGACCATTTCTCGGGCGAAGGAAGTACAAAGTTCTGTCGTAAAACATATTCATTGAAAAAATATTTCGATTATTTCGGAATCATCATAGAAGTGTAATGGACCAACAGTGCTGTGTCCGGACTAACGATCGCGAATGTTGCAAGAAAATGATTTATCATAGATTTTATACTTTTTTACCACATGGCCGCCACCCAGGGACTCCTCTTCTTCAGTCGCCTCTGCTCGCGCTCGGGAATACTCTGGTCGCGTGCTTCTTTTATTTTTAATAGGGCAGCTCATATAGGACTTCCTTTTACTGGATTTGTCTACCTTTTTATTTGATCAGTTATTGTATTTTCTATTGGGATGCTCTTACCCACTACGACGTCGAGAGTGTTTGCATGCATATGAGTGTTTTCATGCAAAATAAATGATTTACCATTAACTGTTTTCAGGCACTAAGATAGCGAGTGACCGCCATCCGGTAAGCTGTCCATTCTCTCCACACCTCGAACGAAAATTTCCCACCCGTTTACGAATCGGAAGTCACATTGTGACGATCCCTCCGGATAGGTCAACAATAATTTTAATATGTGAAAAGTCCCTCAAACCAAATCAATAATCGCGATACTCACATGAAAGAAATAAAAAAAAAAGCCTTAAATTTCTCCAAAATCAGGTCCTAGGGCAATCTGGAATACAATGACAAAAACATGTTTTTCACATTTTTGCCGTGAGATCAGGGGCATAGAGTAGAGGATATCTCTACTCTATGATCAGGGGACAGAGAGTATATTACTAGTCAATAACACTAATAGTCACTAGGTGCTCATTCAGCTGCGCAGTGGAATACATTTTGGTCGTCCTGCGCATGACGCCACAATCAAGAAAGTTTAAGCATATTGTTATGTGAAATACTGGTGCGTATTTGTAGTTAGCGATTTGGTAGCGTTTTGGGAAGGATTGATGTCAAAAATAGACATTATCAGGACTTATATTACACAACACTAATTTAAAGTTTGTTTTAGTGTGGCAGTGAAAAATATGCTGTTTTGGAGTGCGTGCGTGTGACGTGTGTTTGTGTTTACACGTTGAGGCGAGGTTAGGTTAGGTTAAGGAACTAATTTTATTATATTTTGCGAACATGTAGTGTATCATTTGTTTTCGCAGGTCGTATTCTAGGAAGAAAATTGATTCATGTTTGTAATCGCGCCGACTCATTTAATGCACAACATGCCACTATATGCAATATCGATTTTAGGAAAGACGATTACTAGCGAAATTTGCAATTTGAACTGCGGGGACATTAAATGAAGCTCAAAATTGACACCTGATCATATCAATGTGTTTGGGAGGGATCGTCAAAAAAGTTAATCTTGCTTGTCAGCTATTGTAAAATCATGTTGCTCAAGCAATATCTTGCCTCATGCCTCTTGAACAACAAATATGTCATTTTATTAAGTTAGTAAATGATGAGTTTGACGTAATGATCTCAAGGGTTTTGAAATCTTAAGATCAATTGTAAATGCAAGCTGAAGAACAATGACTCAAACATTCTGTGCAGTTTGTTAGACTATGCGGTTTGGTAAAAGAAGCACCTTAAGGATCCAAAAAGGATTCATAATTTGAACTCGTACTCTGATTTCTTGTTACAAAGAACTTGAAAACAATTCAAACACATCTTTACATCTCGATTCAATCAAGACTGCCTGGAAAATTTGTTTTCTCAGATAAGAGCAATAGGACAAACATACGATCACCTTGTCCGTGTTGAATTCAAAAGTCGCCTACGTCTTGTTATAATGAGCAGAAATGTTACAAATATAACATTAAGCAGTTCTTGTCCTGGGTTTGTTTAGCAAGATGTTAATGCATATCTCACATCCTACTTATTTAACGGATTAACTTTCAATTTGAAAGAACCACCGAAAGTGGTACAGGTTGTCTCGGAGGTACAACACGAGATGATATTAGATGTTTCCGAATCACGTCCATCGGAATGGACAACTGAAGGTCAACGCTATATAGCTGGGCACATAGCTCAGCTTTGTAAATTATATCATTGTTCTCTTGCCGTAGATAATGAACAAATGGAGATGGTTTCTTTTCATTCAGGTAGAAAAATTGTCGGGCGGTTTGAGTGTCCCAACAAATAATTGGTTAAATACGAAAAGAGTTTGAACCTATAGGTTTGTTCCAGCAAACAATCACGGACTCTTTTACGTACTCTCACTCTGCGCATGCGCGAGTGCAAACTAGTCACAAACTAGTCCCGGATTGGGATCTGCTGGGACAAGTAGGTCAGTCAGTCTATAGGTGCCGATGCTTTCGTTTCATCGGTAGTTGCAGAATTCTCCGCCAGATATAATTTCGTATCGCATGTAAAAATCTAAGCGACCTGACCCTGGTTATTCTTGTGGTAATCACTTGTGCTTTACGTTTTTCCATAATTGCTCGCTCATTTTCTTGACCTTGCTATCAATTACAGATTTTGAACCTGGTAAATTGTGACTTGGGATATTGTTTTTGATTATTCTTTTGGATTTCGGTTATTTGTATTTTTCTTAAAAATGAGAGAGAACGCTACCACAACAGAACGGTAACTAAGTAACATACATATTGTAAACGAAGAACGTTTCTGTAATTAGAACAATTAAATGATCACCATTATAAATTAAAATAAAAGTACTGGAAGTTGATCAGCGAGTAACGCCACCGCAGCCGCCACAACGGTCAATCTGGGGGATACCGGCGAGGCGAGCGACGGTTAGTTGGTGCGCGGAAGGCTCGGTGAAGCACGGACGGGGCAGTGGTTGCGTCAAAGAGATTTATTGTGGTTGTTAAGTGTCAGTTCGGACTGGTGTGGCCGCTGAATGTGACAGGTTTGATAAAGTTAACCAGTGATGATCCTAGTGGAAGTAGAATTGCGGCACAGAACTGATGAAAACCAATAAGACAGGAAATCGTGCGGTCGGTGGGCTAGTGTTTAATCCGCCATGGTATATAATAAACAGTGGAGTGCTTACGGCATTCTCGCCGAGGGTGGAGAAGGTGCTGAAAAGAGCTTTACGAACAGCCGACGACATCAATTACGCATCGTGCGTTCCAATACCCGTGAAACATTGTGTTCACACCGGCTGGGGTGGAACCCCGGCGAATTCATCGGCGTTACGTTGGCCAGAGGGAGTTGGTCGCCGAGGAGAGGCGGAATTCCGCGGCGACTTCGGGGCGAACCGAAGCTTGCCGAAGCCACCGCGGCGTTGCCACGACGGCCGCGTGCCTCCAGAGGAACGCAGGTGGTTTTTAAAAACATCGAGGTAGCCGTTGACCGTGCGCTTGTTTCCAGGCTGCGATTGCGATTTGTAAATACTATTTGTAAAGTGTGTTCTCTGATCCATTACGATAAATATTTAGATGTGCCAAAAGAATCAATAACGATTATCTTCCTATGCTGCGCCAAATTCCTGGAGAGACCCATTACGAAATGTACCTGTCCTTGCATAATTTATTTGTGTGAAAGTACCTTGCTTTCGCCGGTTACGTCACAATATATAGTATGTCACGGATAACACATGGACTTCTTAAAATTACTTACCTTCCATTTCCCAAAAAAAGGAACAAATATCAAGTTCCAATATCCACAAGAAAATCCGAAAGATAGCCAACTCACCAAAATCCAAGAATCTAGATTTAGATTGATTTAGTAAAAAAAAAGTTTAAAAAAGTAAAAAATTATATATGTGATGTTTGAGGGAGAAGATCTGCGCATGTTTTCTTGAGATCCAGAATCCCTTCCCATCGTTTTAACTATAAATAAATAAAAATTAATTTTAAAGAAGCGTGGGATTAGTAATACTTGAAAAAAAAACTAGAAAATCAACAAAACGTAAAATAAAGCAGGGTCAAATTCCACTATCCACGAGAAAAATCCGAAAGAAAGCGAAATCACCAAAAACCAAGAATCAATAAAATGTAAAACAAATCAGTGTCAAAATATATAGAGCAGAATGTAAAACAACTATGCAGAAACCTGATGGAAACGTAAATGGCGCGTCGTCGAAGTTTGGCGTTGGCGGGAACTCTGGGACCGAAGTACGCATGCGCGGATTTCTAGTTTGAGGGAGAGTGCACGAACTGATTCGGACTGGTTTCAAACTAATCAGCAACACTGCTGGAACGCCCAACTCCCAGTCACAATCCCTGACTGCTGCTGCTGCTGGAACGCCAATACTAGGCTGCGAATGCGCGGACTAGATCGGGACTGTTTCGGACTGCTGCTGGAACAAACCTTATATTTTCACAGTTCAGTGGACAGCTTTGAATCCTCAATTGGTATAGTTATACTCCAGGGCAATGGTATTTTTTAGGATAGATTTAAATATTGAAGCCAAAGCAAGATCTGCTGAACTTCACAACCGAAAAGCAAGAAAGTGGTAGGTTTACTTTTCGTCTGTTTCAAAACAAAGTTAAGGTATAGGTTGATTTTTTCTTCGTATTTTGCACTTTCCCTCTCTCTCTCTTTTTTTTTCTTCTTCTTCGGAATAACTAGAGGTGATGAATCCCTTAACATGTAATCGTACTTTCTAAGTAACGGGTTAAGACAAAAGTTAAATCATATGAGTATACATTTCAAGTACATTTTAAAATGCTCTTCAGAGCGATCTTAGAAACATTTATGGCTGGATTCACATTAAAAAGATCCTTTCAGAAAACTAGAGAAATGATATCAGATATTATTGTCGTTTTTTTATTATATGTAAATATTAATAAACATTCTTCTGTATAATAGAATATTTTTTGACTTCAAGCAGCTGCATGGGCGCGACGGCGTTGTTCCCGATAGTGACGTCATGCCCAGAAGCCATTGCGCATCCACCTATTTCGCTCTACCTCTTATTCTAGGTACCTTGCCATGAATTATTCCATCTTGAAGACAGGCCCTCACGCGCCAAGAAATAAAACCCTAGTATATTACCAATTATTTGAATTGAACGGGAGAACCAATGGAATTCTCAAGAAGCTCATGCCATCTTGGTCCATATTCGGAGAATAC